CATTAGACCCACGTCAAAAGTTCACCGATCCCGATTGGTTCCAGATTACTAATCAGTTCTACTCCCGGAGTGTTCCCCCTTTTACCTACCATGTGCTCTCCCTTTTTGAACATCTCGTTGTGGAAAAGAAATGCGTAACTTAATGTGATACAAAAACGGTAGCCAATTACTTCTTTGAGTCACAGCTCCCTCACTCCTGAAGAGATGGCATTAGTGATCGGCTCAAAGAATAAAAGAAGGTTGTTGACTTCTTTAGTAAATATTTTTCCGAAAATTGATTGATATGAAAAAATTTAGAAATGATTTAGAAAAGGTCTCCATTTTGTCGCAGGACTTATTTGCCAACCTAATAGCACGCGAATACGGTCCCTAATGAAGTTAGTTTGTAAGAAGCAGTAAAAAGAAATAATCTCTGACGAAACTCACTCGCAGCAAATATGCCTAATGAGTTCGCCCACTAATGCCCTTTGAGAGGAAAACTCATTCCCAAGACCTTATAAAAACCTCATAGAGGCGAAGATTAGAAATCGACTTTGACTTTAGACGCTCACAATTTTTCTTCAAAGAAACGATTTAGATGGAGATGGATCTATTGAGACGTAAAAAACTTTCGACTCTCGGGGAACATATTTCAAAGATCGAAATCGAAGAGGCCCCACATAGATGGTGAGGAAGTGGCTGAAAAAGCCAAGCTGCCCTGATTTCTCTCTTCAAAAATTATCATAAAAAGAAAAAATGATAGAAGAAAAGCTGAGTGCGATATTTATTCGCATGTTCTTATAACTACCTCGTGCCTCATCAGACTTGAAAAACTGTATTCTCAAGTGGCGTACATCGCTTTGCAAACATCTTACATATATAGACGGCTAAGCGTGTCTGTTGGTGTGTTTGTGTGTATGTGTGTCTGTCTGACCGGAAATTCATAACCTCTGTTCCCTTGCACCAAGAGTGTTCAAATTCAGTAGGAGTACAGGCGGCAGAATGGGAACACTTATGGTAAATGGCAGGATCAGACTCCGCCCACAATGGGCGGGGCTTCTGCAAAAATTCACAACTCGTGTTCCCGTGCACCTAGAGAGTTCAAACTTGGTAGGAGTACAGGCGACAGGTTGATCACACAGGGATGGATATGTCGTACTTACAGAAGGGAAACGGAAGAATTCAATAATTATCAGACAAATTCCAAAGGGTTGCCCTTTAGATTCGATTTCAATTGCTAATATTTTTATCACAAGCGCGTGCAGTTTTTTGTTCAGTCTTTCTCCTTTTGCTGCACTGTATGAGCACTGGATAAATAGGATAATTCCATATGCTGTTTTAAAGAGAAAGAGTTGTAGCTAGTACCATCTTTTCTACGTCGTATCATGTCAATATTATGGCAGACCCAGCCTATTGCTCATTTACAACTAGCTCACAGATTAGTGGTTTTCAAAAACATAGTCCAGTCAGCTGTAAAAATAAAAAATACTAGCAACATTTATCCGACAGTATGATATAAGTATAATATAATTTAAAATACGGGAGGGAGATAACCGACTAACTATCTGCGCTACCTTTTCCATTTCTCCGGAACCGATTGCTTGTACCAGGCTGGTAAGAAAGACGAGCTACATGCAGGCAATCGAATCTCTAGCTAACATTGCAGTATAAATCAAGAAGCCTTCTGCTTGCCGAGGATCGAACGAATGCTGAGTGTCAAACGGAAAAAGTGGTGCCAAAATGGGCCCATAAAACATTTGAAAGTCCTCGTGAAGGGAGGCATTGCCCAGAGGAGGTCTCCGTATCCTACACAATTCAGAAAATAAACTTCGATCGTTTCATACCAACTCCGTTTCATTGTTATATTTTTCTTTCACTGACCTATGGGATTGGATGAACCGCCAGAAGAATTATGATTTATGTATGGATGCCTGAAAACGACAAATTAGCTCGAATAATGTCCTTGAGTAAATTTGAGAACGACCTTCATACGAGCCCGCTTATCCCGACATCCTCCTATCGGAGTCCACCCAAACATAGGACATATAATCGAGTAAAATAAGGGCAATGACAACGGGGAGCGATTAATCAACGTTGTAAGCGATTACGGCAAATGTTCGAATTAATGCAAAGGGATTGAAATTCCCACGTATTGTCTGGAAAGAGAAATGGGCCACTAGGTCCATAATACTGCTAAAAACTAGATTATGCGGACCCTAAGAGCGCTCAAGTTAAACCCTTAGGGCTCCAGGGCTTGTGTTCCATGATTTTCCGCAAATGGACACTTCCCCGGATAAACGATCGGCGTATAATGAAAAAGAAACGTATAAAACGTAACGATCAAACCGAAATCAATAATTACAATAATAATTACTATTATTTATAACCATAACTAAACTGCTACATTGAAAGATAAATCTTAGACGAGCAATCTGCAGGAAACACACTAATGAAGACAGTTGTATTGGGATTGTACACGAGTTGTGACGCTATCGTGGCGAAGCGTGCGACTTAACTAGGCCTCGGACTCTAATCCTTGACGCCTCCAGCTCTTTGGAGTACCTATCATGTTTGAGGACAAGGGAATTCCCTATCAAACAACTATTCATAGAGTGGTCTCAGTGAATGCGTTGTCGATTTCCTTGCTTCTACTAAAAGTGAATGAGTGGTCGGTACTTGGAGAAGTCTTATTCAGCCTCAGCTTTTCTTTCCCAGTTTGACAAAAAGTTATCTCTACTCAGATCTCAATAATAATAATAATGAATAATAACAAATATTTATCTGTGACTGCAAAAAAAGACTCTGAGCCAGACCGACAAGTAACAAGAACAAAAATTACTTCGTATAGGCAAAAATTCGTGAGGGTGACATACCAAAGGCAAAACAGTCGATAGCTGACGCAATAACAACTTATATCAACAGAAAACAGAAAACAATTACCGGTCAATCATGAGAGTGGATGTCGTGTCCATGGTCGATATCGACTCGTTTAATCGTCAATAAATGGAACACACTGAAATGTTAAAGGTAAGAGGTCGCCTTCGTTAGCTTTATATCCAATAACAACGAAAACAATCTTTTCACTTAGCTGTTCTCGAGAACTTGAGTGATTGCTTAGCTGCTTTTCTAAAGTTCGTAAATGCCAGATGGGTGCTTAACTGTAGACATAACATCTGCCCTTAAGCGGGACGGGAATCTTCCCCAATGTCTGAGGTTTCCATGGCACAATGCATATACACCATACGATTGGGACCCCAGACACACCCATTAGCGCTCCTAAAATACATTTATACTGCAGTCAAACCCATGTTCTAGAACAAGAGCAATGAGAGCTGTGGGCAGCTCGAGCTGTGGGTAGCGATGTTTTCATTGGCAAGCACGGCGTCAGGAAGCCCAAGTTGGGGTTACAGCCTCGCTTCCCATGGAGGGCTTCTGTGCAAATGCTTGTACCACACAATGATGAAAATCAGTTGCCGGTAAGCAGAAACGAACAAGAGTAAGTTTCATCGAAGAAAAATGGATTTTCTTCAAATTTTCATTTTTGGAAACTTGGGATTCCTTTTTTCAAATGGAACCAACTTACATAGAATTCTATATGGACTTGCTTCCGCTCAGCTTGTTCCACAATGAACTGTGCTGACAATACACCACGAGAATCGCATCGCAGTGTTACCTGGAAATATTATTACGCTATGTGATTTTCCTGGTTTTGCAAAATTTCATTCAAGGAGTATTTTTGCCAAAAAAAAATGAAAAGAGTCTTGATCGAGATAGTTCTGTACGGAAGCTAGGCTTATTTTTCATATATGTCGCTGTCACTAAAACTGCATGAACAGAAAGGATCATGGGTGGGATCTCTATCCGACTGAATTCAGCAGAATCGCTTCTGAAACACTGTTCAGCGAAAATTTCAAAGGGATGCTCGAAACTTTCCTGCCTCTTCTCAACTTCGCATTCTCCAGCAAATGAAATCAAGAGGACCACCGCTTTTGCTGAAACACCAGCAGAAGCAAATGGTACAAGGAAGGATAAGGACCGTGTTGCTATCGACTTTTAACGAACCCATCAACAATCTCCTCTCTGAAGGTGAGATTGATTTAAAAGCTGAGCAAACTGCATGAACATAACAATAAAAAATGAATTTAAAATTGAACACGATAAATTTATTCTGAAGTGAGAGCTCAGTAAACTATGTGGATCCAAGTATAAGTCAGAAAAAGAGGTCATGATCAAATGTACTGCCATGCTAAGTGCGTACTGTCTTTACATTTACTGAATAAAATGCTCATTGAAGATATGTTGCACATCACTTCTGCTCCTTTGGAACAGGAACAATGAAGCTTGTCCATTCAAAAAACTTCGTTTCCATAATTCGATCGAACTTTTTTGCTGACTTAAGTGATCTTCCATATCAAATAGTAATTTAAAGCTGTCGAAACTTCGCAGGTGTAAAAAAATCACTCTACTGAATAAGAAAAGCAAGAGCTTTACCTACACGAAGCTTTTACACGATTTCCTACAACAGAAAATGTCCCCACAACAAAATAAACATTCTTCCAAATCGCCAGCTTTCCTACGCCGATGCCATCAGATAAGTCCATGCTTCACTTGAGTGACTTGAACTGGTTTTAAGGAACAACTTGTTCACTAGTCGCATAATCTTCACTTTAATCTTTGACTGAACAGTTAAATGCAGCAAAAAAACCCCTAAGCACTAAATGAAAAGTAAACAAGAAGGTTTGCTCTGTGCTGAAGACTCACAAACAAATGAGTCTGCAGTAACAAAAGACCTCCATCAACACAAAACATTTCTACCTTACTGGCGATCGCAAACGCTGCAGTCATTTGTCTGATAAGATTCACGGGATACTGATGGACGACTGGTTCGGCACATTCCAGTCGCTCAATTTGATCCGAATGACGAGGAAACCTTGTCTGCAAAGGCAAAGGATTAACCGGAAAGGAACAAGTCAAGGTATGCAAGCCATCAAGACGTTTGTTTAGCACTGATAGAAACACTCTTGTGCGCTTATTCCCCATGTCAATGAGCTCTATAAACATTTCGTGCTCTAGAGACACTAGGTAATGCTACCCCCAATGGGGACGATCTCTGCTGCCAAAATGGTTTAGTTTACCAATTAACCGTTTCATCCCTGCGGAAGGAGGGCGGCTGCTAAGTTAGCAAAAGCGGATAGAAAATCTCCTTTCTGATTGCGAGAAGCTAAAGCTATAAAAAAAGCTTCCTGTAAAAAAACACTTAATTGGCCCCACATTTTTTTGTATAGACTATGTATGCATTCAAACGCCACCACGATTTTGATTAAATTTCACCAAGAAATTTCATTCACATAGAGATAAAGATCACAAAACAGGATGGATCGCCACCAAAGAAAAATTATTCGTCGAATTCTAAACCATAAAAAGAACATAATTACCACCGCTTTTCCGATTTCACCAGTTGTGGTTAGAGACAGTTCATCATTGCTGACACTAAGCGTTACCGTTGAGCTGCTGGCATCTAGTTCCTGCAATTTTAAGAAACAATTATCTAAATTTGACCATTCTCGACCAATTTGACCACTTTTCTGATCCATTCTGCCACAAATTGAGTGGACCTAATGAAAAAACTTCTTCCACTTAATGGTAACCTGCGCGACGAAAATTTCTCCCGGTTGTGTTCGACGGGAGCCCTCGACTTCTTGCCCCTTTTAGTGGAGTTTCTCTAGAGGAGAAAGAAAACCGGCACACAATAGTAAGGACAAACTTGCAATTTGCTCCGCGATACCGCCAGTATTTCAAAGAAAAAAAAAACATAATTTATGGGATACACACACCTTTATAGCTTCTTTCAACATGTAAGACTTCATAATGACTTGAAAAGTCACATCATCTGCATCGAATTCAAAATCGAGCACCTTAAACGAAAATTATTGATATCTGAGCCTTGAAAACTTATGGAATATGCACCGCTCGCGGTGTTCATGACAATGATGGGACAAAAGTCACTTGCGGCTGTGTTACGACCTCAGATCCCACAACTTCAACACCTCCGTCTTCAGCCAGTTTTCCCCACAACTTCACTAATAACTCTGAATTTTCGCAAACTACAATTGAACAATGTTTCGCAGCCACACCCCTTTCAAATGCCCAATACTCAGTCAATTGGAACAGGCCATAGAAAACTAGTGACATACCTCTTCTGTTGTTAGAGTTTTTACATTTATGTCAAAGACAATCCCGTCTTCTTCGAGAATAATTACGACCGGTTCACCAGCACCGTCATATGTCATCTTCAGAGTAGCTCCAGAACTCGTATGCATACTTATGCAATCCTATAAATTCGACTTTACTATTATGGTGAATAACGACAAGTAAAGTTCGCGAGCCCTGTGAATTATTCAGCAAAGGTTCTTACACGAAGAAAAGTGTTGAGCATAATGGGCTTAGTGAGAGCACGGTCCCTTAGTCATAATATTGGTGGTGGTGAAAGCGTAGATGAGATAATTTTGGTGACACATATCACAAAACCAAAAGAAAGAATATTGATTACGGAACACTACTAGCGTAAGCATAACAGATAAATGTAAAAGGAGACACTTCCTCGAACTAAAATTTCACCTAGAAGCTTGATTTGCCGCAGCCGCAAAAATACGTGGACTGCCTCCCCTCCCAGAAATGGTATAAAGAGAACACGGAGGACACACTACACTGCTCTCGTGCCCATTTCATATTAGAAAGAGTAGCCTTACCATACCGTTATGACACGAAGAGGAATCCTGAAGTGTACAGATCGTTCGCGTAGAGTGAAACTTGAAAACAAATCATTCGATAAATAAGCGATCGCCTGAAATAGGATACTAAAAATTACCTCAGAAATGTATGGTAGTAGGTACAGCCATAAGGGCCCTATCTCGATAACTCTCAGTAAGATTCTAACGAAATTTTGAAGCTATGATGTGGACTGCAAGATCAGCATACGATCTCCAAGATGGCACGATCATGTCGCAAAAAAACCCATTTTGCCTATTATCACGCACGGGGAACATTTGTTCATCAAACTTTTGGGTGTGCGCTACCTTACCCCCATCCAATTGGCATGGTCAAAGGAACTCCGGAGGCTAGCTCTTTTCACGACTCAGTCCATCAAAAGTTGCAATATCACACACTGTTGACATAGCTGGCGCGATTACAATCAGTGGATCGAACCCAGCGTCAGCCGTCTTCTTAGCTGGTTCTACTTCCATTAGTGAGCTGTGAATGGAGTAACTTTCTTGGGATAACATATATTTGATGAACCAGTTCGTCCGTTGGCCCCGATTTTATCATTTATGATGGGTTCGACATTCGAAAGCATAAAAATCGAGTATATGGGTATTTAACATGACTTCCGGGTGACCACTACTACTTTTTACATAAATCTAGCTAAGGCTTATGGCTAAAAAAGACTACTGCTACTCCTTCCTTCATATAAAATGGTGACATACCTGTTGGCAATGATGGTCATCAACCAGAATTCGCATACCCTGAGGGGTTGCTTGAAATGTGGCATTCTGGAAATAAGCAACTTAACAGAGTTATTTGACCACAAGAGATGTTAAAATTGGTCTTATAGTTTGTGGGTACCGTACCACCGAAGCATCATATCACGAACTCTGCATGGGAATCAACATCGAACCTACCTCACGAAAAGATATCGCCTTGATTATACTGGCAAGGTCTCGGACATGAGCTTTTTTCAATTCCAATACGTGAATTTGATTTGTACGAGCATCCCCAGCCGCCATTTGCATTCTCCACCTGACAGAAGTGGTCATATGACTTCAAATTATTTATTACACCATGTTCATATGTTACAACCTCGATTACTTCCCATATAGCAGTAATAGTAGTAGGTGAAAGTCACTGGGGAAAATCAGTATGTGGATTATCATCCACTTTGAGAAATACTATTTATTCTGACAACCTTTCGGTATCTTAGACTTCGTAGAGGTGTGAATTAGTAAAGAACAAATGTACTTGCGCCGATTAGTCCCGTTTTGGAACACGCCAAGGAATTTTGAACAACTGACCGTGGCGTGCTTAACGGTGTAAATCATAGTATATATCAAAACAAGAAAGAGAATTGTATAATGAAACATTGATACTACCGACCTTATACAAACTATTAAATGGCCAGATTGCACATACGGATGTCGGAACTTTTCTAAGGGGAATTAGAGGTGCGGGGACTTTTCTCCGGGAATTCGAGGAGAAGTACTGCCGTCTCTCCACATACATATATCGGTGTGAGCTAAGAAAGCTGAACCTTCTGCTGGCATTGACTGGTCTCCTAGCTCTGTTTTTGCCTTGCAGGCCACTTCATAGAACAAATAAGCTTTTCAAATGTTACTATGACTCCAAATGAAAATCGACTACACAGCGAAATTTTAGGAGGGTGAATCTGCACCGAGCGATCTATCCTATTTGTCCTCCGCCCTTATGACACCATTGAAGAGCTGTGAGGGGAAGTGATGAAGTGGCTAGGGATGCCACCTAGTCGTGCTGTATAACTGTGGCGTACAGGCTTGTTTCGGGTGCGAAAAAAATTGGTCAGAGTGTAGGCATAACTGTATTGGCCATTTTAGAAGCATGAGAACCCCTAGGAATGAATGAGGAACAGTCAAAGGTTTTCTATAGCGGAGTTAGTAACGGTAGTGGTTTCTCCTAGGGAGCAACTTATGACGTAGTATTCGGTTCTATGGGTGCTATAAGACCATGGGTCACCCATGGTCTCAAAGTTTTGCGTCAACTTTGCGGCGGTACAGCGCGATTACCTCATCCTTCGCTCCCCCTTGGGTAGATCGATCGATAATCGATATTACTTGAACTGACAAACAATTTTCCTCATCACGACACAGAGACACCAAAGGATATATTTATAAAATTAGTGCAGGAACACGCCATCATACGGGGAGGCGGTCAGTAGAAACGGTTTAGTGTAATCGATCCGCCGCACGCGGCTGTCGCGGACCTATTTGCCTCGTTATAAGAGTTCTAGCGTTCTTCATACAGCTCAATCGCTATGCGATTATTACTTTTGGCATGATTCTACTGTTAGTTCTTTTGTTTCAAAATTTCTTACTTGCTGCATCTTGCTACATTCCTTCGCGCACGGCGCCTCTCCCAGCGACGCGACAATTTCGTTCCTACTGCACCACACCCCATCATAGGGCTTCTGTGCACACAACGTTCGGGAGAGAAAGTATGTTCTGTGCGCGTGTAAAGTTGATCTGCATGTGGCCATCATTCAAATGGATTTGCTGCGGCCCGAAAACATCACAAAAATGAAAGAGAAGACCCAGGGATGTGAAAACAGAACTGTGAACTCCTTCAACAATGCAGTTTGTGATTCAAAAATAGCTTAGAATATGTGATGCAGATCACATACTAGTCTTGACCCTACTTCAAGTACTGATTTATTGGAAGAGGCACCAAGCTTTCCATACACTGTACACAAAATATCAAAGCATTCAGACAAGCTGAAAACCCTGTTCCCCGACACTACCAAGGTACAAGTAGCTACAACCACAATCTTCCAGTAGACCATAACTGATAGAATCTTTATTACACACATAAATTATCAATTTGTTGAAGATCCCCACAGATGGGGCACTACATGTTGAACATGTGTCCGCAAGGTATACTGGTCAAATACGTAGTTTCTATGGAACAATGCTACTGACCTCAAAATGTCGTCGTTAATCATCAGAAGAAGGTACACCGGCAATCAATGATTAAAATGATGAACATGAACACCAAATATAATGTTACAAACGAGCAGAAGATAGATGACAGTTAGATTACGAGAGGATTGACATGGCATGGATGAGGAATCAGTAGGAGAAGTAAAATAAGCGACAGTGACGTCATCAGAAAAGACGTTGGGAAATCGTACATAGCACATAAAGAAAGCAGCGAATTGGAGTTTAGGGCCAGTGGAGAAAGTCGCAAGGAATAGGAAGAAGAAACAACAGAGATGAACAAGAAATGATATCTATGGCAGATATTCTCATCACGGAATTACTGCACAGAATTGAGCATAGATTTGAAGAAATGACAAGTTGTCAAGCATACTTCGCTGGACTATCATGTAAAAAAACCGAATAATTACCAATAAATACTCAATTCTGTGCGATTTTCTCACGCCTCCTCGCTAGTGCTGCTTCAAGATCGCTCATGTGATTCGGTTGTGGTGAAACCGCAGTGACAATTCGTGTAGCTTCTGAACGTTTCGGCGGTGGAGGTGGTGGTGCCTTTTTCGGGGTAGGCGTGCCTGGCTGAGAAATTGGACTGAAAGTTTGTGGAGGAGAAACACACTGAGGTGGTGGGTGCTTCATCGGTGAAGTATTCGGTGATGTCATTGATTGTCGAAGAGGTTTCGGAGGAGCCGCTGGGACAACACGAGCCTCGGTCTGGAACTCGGACATCAATACTAGAAAGTTGGTAGAAAAGTCGGCAAATAAGCAGATAATTTAATCTTGCTATAAAAATTCAATGTCGGCTCTGAAAAGTACCTGGCTAGGGGTGGACGTCCTGCTTAGAACCGGTGGCGGTGCAGGGAAATCCTCGTCCGAATCTTCATCATCAGGAGTACCTGAATGGAAATTCTCGAGTTTTATCTGAATCATGTACTGCAGTGGAAAATCCACCATTGCATGAATTATTTCATGTTGATCAAAGTTTCATTTGCTAGGCCAAAGATGAGAAGAAATATTTAGCAGAGATTTCTCCTCATCTGAAGGTTATAGTGCAACCGTACACATCCGCACTTACTCATGGCATAACACAGGAAATGATGGACAATGGACAAAGAGTAATCCTTGGAAAAGCTTGGTCGAAGTATTTAATAAATCAACAGACCTCCTCCATTTGAAGATGATGAGTGACTAACTCGTCGTATCACATCCAGTGGAGCGCGCTTTATCGTACCGGTAGGTTGCTCGTCATACTGAAATATAAGAAAATCCATAAGATATATCCAAACACTCATCACCCAACCAATCAAGCAAAAAAGCTACTCTTCGAAAATTCCAGTACGCCTTATCACAACCGTATACTGAGCCATAACTAGGATCTACTGTAACCTGGATGTGCATTACAATGACAGCATATGGTTATCTGCGCGTCAAAATTAAACAGTACAACATCTATTAGTGGTGGCACTTCCAGCATAACTCAAACCCAACCATACCCCTTAGTATAAAATCTGCCCTCAGAGAAAAAAGCTGATACGGTATAGCAGCCATTTCATGTTTTCGCTAGTTTTCAGGTACGAAAGCATAATCATCAACGGGTTTGCGGTTTCTTGCAGAATTTATAATTAACAATTTTAAGCAAGCAAAGGAAAAAGAATTTTAATCTAACAAAGGAAAAAGGAAAGGAAAAAGGAAAGAAAAAAGAAGAGGATTAGACGAAGAATTAACGAAACTTACCTCTTGAAAATGAATAGCAGTTGAATTTGCTACACTAATGCAACGTTCAGTAGATACAGCGCTAAGACGACTGGCTTGCGAGGGCGATTGCAAAGATGATGGCTAAACAAGAAAAAAAAAAGCTGCTGTGAAAGTAAGCTTCCAGAAAAAGTGCAAAACCATTCTACCAGTATTATGCTTTTAGGAAATAGCAGAAAATAAAATTCGAAAATTTGCAGCCCTATTTGCTGTTTAAATTAGACTTATGGATATCTTAAAGGAAAAATTCTTTGTTCAAGGCAGGAAAAAAGTAGGAAGAACTCAAATTCAAGGAAAGAAAATCCGAAACGAAGTCCATAAGAGTGGCTCACCTTTCCACTGTGATCGGAGTAATTCGATCCGAGATCGTGCCGACTAGAAGAACATGAAGGTGTGGGACCATGTTGCTCACGAACATTTACACTGATTGGCTGCTGGGAGGCAGACATGGCAACACGTGGTGGTGGTACACAGACAGGTTGAACGTTGAGCGCTTCTCGACGACGTTCACATGCACGAGCGTAATTCGACATTAGATTGACGCCATTCTGAAACATCGGTAATAACTTATCTGTAAAGAAAAACGGAGCGCAGATTCCAAATCGGAGCGCTATCATCTCAACGTTCTCGCTAGTAGCTACTCCTGGTAACGTAGTCAGATCGAGTGAAATTAGGAAGTTATCGAGTAACAGCAAAGGAGAGAGGAAGAGAGATGATCACAAAAGCATATCACTTTGAGCTATACCTCTAAACCTAGGTGAAAGTCAGCAGAGCTGGAGTAACTCAAGTAGCCGTCAAACAAATATCGTCTTGCCTCATTTCACTAATTGTTTCAAAGGAAACTGCCAACTTCACCTGGCTTATCGGAACCCCTGAATATTCCGGAACCCTTCAGAACCAGTTTCTGGCTAGAAACTTAAAATGAGAAGTTCTCGAGAGTAATTTTGTTGAGGATGCAAAAAAAAAAACACTCCGAAATGTATTAGAACGTAAGAAAGAACGAGGAGCAGCACCGTCATAAACTGGTAGAGGGAATGGGGTTAATAATCATTGAAAACACGAATAATAGCCTGTAAAAGGTGGATGAAAAACGCTGACCTTGGCAATTCTGAGCCCAACAAGCCATCTGCGGAAAGTTGATTCATCGTCGGCGCAAATGTATTTGATATATTGTGAACGCTTCATTTGAAGTTGCGTCAACTAAATTACATGCTTACTAACTTTTATCAAACGGAACAATAAACTGAAAAACGACTGAAGAACAAAAATACCTTGATCGCTATACACCAATCTGTTGGAGCCTTGTACTTCTTTGCCCAACCTATCCCAGTGTACACTTGATTTGAGTGTAAATTCATCAAACACTGGAGATCTTTTGATGACCTGCAATGAGGCAGAATAAGGGCATACCAAGAACTGTATTTCAGTGGTAGTTTGATGTTCAATTACTTTCGAACGAATTACATGTTAGTCTGGTTTTCAAGAAATATTACATGTGTATCGCATTAGCTATGACCTTGAACAAAACGGAGGGATGGCAAACATAACGTATTGGTATTAATACGAATCATTTTTGAGGTTTTAGGAAAGAACGAGCAGGCGGAAGTGTGAGCAAATGGTCGAGGTGAATAGGTTTGAAATATGGGGTGATGGCGTTGGACTTCAACGGTTTCGGGGCTTCAACGACCAACAAGAATGCTCTGAACTCGAAAAAAGGGGTAAAACTTAAGCCCTATCTTGTTCGATTGCTTGTAACAACAGGATTAGAAGTAGAACAGCATTTGAAAGTGAGATAGCACCTCAATACCTAAGCTGAGACTTCAAAAACTTACTTCTTTCCTTTAGGAGCATAGTAGAGTCCGCTAGGTCTGAGCACGAAGAAGTGTTTTTTCCAGCTTTTTCGGCCATCTGATTTCAAGTATAGGAAACCTTCCAATTCAGGCGGCGACACAGTTTCACGGGTGAAGAAGTCCTAAATAGGAGTATGAATGAGTTTGACTTGATATTTAGTTTCCAGACTGGTTTGAAAGCTCGGTCCCAGATGTTTTTTAAAGTTCAAAATTTCGTTCATAACTCAAAATAACTCTATAAACCTGCGAGGAGCACAGACGAAGTCGTAACAACAAGAGTACAATTTAGATAGTAACCAGACCTCATGACTGCGATACCTTTTAGGTATATCACTTTCATTTTGGAGCTATCTTTTTTGTTTTTACAATGTCGAAACCACAAGATCACCAAGGAATAGCTCAGCTCTCACGCCGCAAGTAAAAAGGGCGCATCTAACTGCGTATCGAACTGAACTGGTTCCACTTTTTTGCCATCAAATGATGGTGTAACAAATACAAATATGTGTTAGCAATCATATGAACAAATCAAAATTCAGCTAAGATTGCCCAACAATTCTACATGAACAATACAAAAACAATGATAAATAGTACCTGAACGAATTGTGTCTTCACTTCTCTGGTCCAATTGTCGCCGGGTGGTACTTCCAGGTCGGCTGTTTTCTCTGTCACGAGGTACAACTCAGGACGGTCTGAAACACAAATTACTGAATGCTTAAAGAGCAAAAAAAGGAGTAATATTTCTAAGAATCCTCAAGCGACTGAGAATTTGATAGTGTATGAGGAATCTCGGTATCAAAAAAGCGAGGGGTTCAATGAAAAGGACTAAGAAGGGAGAAGCTGATTTAATTGGAAAGTAGAAGTGAAGCTGTGATGTGAAGCTAAATTGAGGTAAAGAACGTACCAATGAACGGATATTTGTCAGGACGACGAATGAAATGTAGCTTGTTTGGCGAGTCTTGAACCCACATTTGAATGTTTTCAACCAAATTCTCATGATCCTCATAGATTCGACCTTGAAAACAAAATATATTGAATATTTAAAACAGAAAAACTAACGCAAATCTTTCATCTTTCTCCCTTCTACTCAAATCACACCAACTAAGATTCAGCTTGTGTCCAGATCCCATCAATGCTTCACCGTAGTTGTCAAGATCTAGCGCGCATTAGAAGCGGAATAGCCGGTAAAAGTATTCCTCATTACATAACCATTGTCATTTTCATCATTTTCAGTATTATCGGTAAAATTACTGTGGTTGTGGCGAACATAAAACAATAACCAATTTCACATCCTTATACCAAAACTCCATTATTTCTTACCATTCAAGAAGCCAAACAGTTCACTCAACATTGCATTCATATGTAAAACTCACGAATATATAAGTCCGGATATTCTTCCACTATACAGTGATCCTCGCACAAGAAAATGTGGTGTTTATCAGCCAATTGTTGCATCGTCTGTAAAATCGGCAAATAAAATTCCACTCCATCTCCAATTCCAATGGACAGGAAAATGAAAAAAATCAAGCGAAAAGATGCAGAAACAAGAACTTACATCTGCAACAGTCCATCGCTCATCAACAAGCATTTGTAGCGGTGCTCCATCTTCTACGAAAAACTTGACGAATATTCGAGTAACCTTAAGAAATAGAAAATCTCGTGACTTGTCGGAGTAATATCGCGAAAATAGTGCTTAAAGGCTACAATACGAAGCAACCCCCTCATTTAATCCCCACTATTGACAGCCCGTGAGGGAATTGATCGTAAAGCATCTAATTCTTGGTGATAAAACTTTATTCCACTAATTATTTTACGACTAGTATTACGGTAAGAAATTAGTTCCAGACCGCTTTTAAATATTAGGCGCGGGAGTAACAGATGACTGACAGCTTTCAATGGTAGTGTGGGTATATCTTGAAACGACTCCTTTGATCTTTCAGTAGGAAGTTAGAGTAAGTAGGTTCAAAGGAAGCTACGCTTTAAATTTTACGCTCAATACGGTCTGCACGAGACTTTGCGTACTTTCCCCCATTACAGTCCCGAAAATGCGTTTGAAAAGTGGCAATGACCTCTTCAAGACGTTATAGAGGCTACCATGGTAATAAAGCTATATTATGCACGTGTGGCAGCTGCACAGGATCCCCAGGTAATCGGCTTAAAACAATAAGATCGTAAGATCACCTGGATGCTTATGGCCAAGAGTCAAAAACATCATGAAGGAAAGTAGTTGGAAACGTGGAAGATGTCGTGGAAACATTTATCATAAAAAACCAGAGGCAGATATCAAGTAATTATTTTGATTCTATTGAAAATTCATTGACTTTTGACATCATGTCTTAGTCCTACCCTGAATAAAGCCCAGTCCTAACCCTGAATAGAGAAAACTTGGCACATGCACCAAGAATGATTATTCACTTCAAAGGCCTGTTGAAAGGAAAACTCAGTACGGGCACTCAATTTCTACAGTGAACTTGCTATGAGTCCTTACTAGAACAAGAGGTTGTGATGGTTGTGATACAGCACCGTTTCAATGCGTCGTATATGTGATGGGTTGAGGACTTGTGTATCTAAAGGTGGTTATGCCGTGAAAGAAAAATGTTGTCTGTGAAATACTGCGTCCATTGCATTTTATTTGACCGTTGGGTTACTGTAGGAATTGGGTACCCGTTCTAAACTTTCGTTCTTGCGGAAGAAATCATTTAACCTTCAGAGCAAAGTTCCATCGTTTTCGATCCCACTCGGTCGTTTTAATCATTTGACGTCAAAAAAGTTTTATTCTATGAAGTTATAAACAAAAATTTGTTTACCTTAGCCTCACGCATTTTCTCCAGAGCCTGTTTGATTTTAGCGGCCTTCAACTCCTCAGCGGTCGGTTCAGTTGATCGCGGTGAAATCTGCAATTAAAGAAGGTTCGCCGTGGGGATTCAGAAGGCAGACGACGACCAGCTACGGCACCGATCAATAACTCAGTATGACAGCTTTTGAGTAACGGACGTGCGACTGATTCATACGTCCGTCGGCCGACGCCGACCCATCAAAGCCTGCCCACGTCGACACGTCGGAATTGTCGTTTCAAATGTGTCAAAACAGACTTCGGATGGACGGACACGGAGGGTATTTAGGCGTCGATTACGTATGAAGTATAAGTCCCGTATGGGTGAGGCATATGGGAACATGGGGTCCCAGAATACCATGGAACGGGTGGCTATTAGGCCTTCTGATTTTTTATCATTTCTTTCACAAGCACATAAAAACCTTCTACATATATGTACATGTGTACGGGCCATTATTCCTTGTACAGTCAGTCCCACTTGTACGGTCCTGTTCAGAGCTTCCCGGGAATTCTCATTGATTGCGAAAGGATGTAAAAGGAACCGAAGTACGAAGCCAAAAAGGATATACGAAAAGGGTAGCCAAAAGGGTAAAGTCCCTGGAGTCCCGTTGCTGGGATGCGCCCTGCATTCGACTTCCATTCAAAATCCTACTGACACTTTGAATGCGTACGTGAATTATACAGAAAGCTGTAGTGACCAGCCTATATAGAAGCCATTGTTTCTATTTTTCCTGATGAATTTGGTACTAATTAATCAACCGTGACTGGATGAAAGCCTTGAGCTGGACGAGTTTCAATCTGGGATACGACCCCGGACCATGCGTGTGTGATGGTGCGCCTTTTGGCACTACACCACGTTCACCCGAGAGATACAATTTTCCTCCAGACTCGTAAAAGCTCCTTCACATCGATGCCATGAGGAATTCTCATTTCGAAAATTGGGTCCTTCTGAATCCGAATAGAGGCAGGATTTCGGAGGGCTAGATTGGGATTTCAGAACTTTCTCCTCCCAATACTTACCGATTTTTGACACTCATTTTCAAAATTCTTGGGATTTCCTGGCCCGGAACGGGCTCGATCTGTAAGGCAATTCATCTATTTTTTTTTCTGCTGAATTCATTTAATAACCGATTTATGCGGTCACGATCAGGTATATTCAAAAGTATGTTACTCGTACAACAGACCATCTGGAATACTCGAATTTATGGACCCATTTGCCCTTTGGATGACCAGCTCCTTTCACTGACTACCACGACACCATCGTTGCGCGGTGGACGACGCCATAAATGTGTCATACAGTCATTAAATATCATAATAACAACATTGTTATAACAATTCGCACAATTAACGGCAATTAGTCGCCACCCCTGACCGACTGGCGAATTACGGTATTCGCTTGTGCATGCCAGAAGGCAAGCGCGTTGCGCGGTCCAAAAAGAGAACAGCTCGACCATAATTAATCACCCACAGCATTCAAAGACATGAGCACCTGGTCTGAGAAATTAAAAATCATGACAGAAGGCATTGGTGAACCGTGAGTGGATACGGTAAAAACAAAGGGGTGCAACTGGATTCGGAATACCGGAGTGACGGAATTCGGAACAACAACTGGGGCTTAGAAAATCGGACTCGGCTTACTCCAGTGGGGATGAGGGAATAGGGGTAGTGGCTTACTGGTCCGTTTCTAACCAAGTGCATGTTAGTTAGTCCCTTATCAAAATGAAGGACAAATTAAGAAAGGCTTTTATGGAAATATCCACTAGAGCACAAGAAAAAGCGAAATTCCACGAATATTTTTTAAAATTTTTCTGAGTTGAAGACCACTCTCGTATCTAAGCCTCACCCTTGGGTAGTAAGTTTCGAAACAACAATATGGACCTTGAGCCATTTTTATTTTCATGACCGTCTAGGTGCCCTTTGTGGATATAAGAAGTCGGTTCGTTCGTTCGAAGACCACCAGTTGGTTACGGTATGACCATGATGAAGGGTCCTGAGATCGAGTTTGACTTGATTCCCTTAATCATTCAAACAATATATGATTTTTTCAAACTTCTCAGATTCATTCAGGCTTCGTATTTTTGTACATAGGTGATTCCCAATTCCTGAAATTCTCCTCCAGGTTTTATCAATTTTGAAGTGTGTTGAAGTTGAAAGAACAGGATCGCACGAATTACGGTACGCCGCTAAGACGATATAATTCATGCGGTACGGTCGATCATATTGCTGGAGTTTTCGAATAATAGAAAATCCACCTTTGTTAGCGTTAGTGGAGAAACTCTGTCGATTAACTTTTCGTGGAATTTGAAAAATTTTTGGGGTCGTTGAATTCTCCACGCAATTTTTCTTTAAAAACAACATTATTGATCATATAGATCGCCTGGTCTACCGTAGCCTGAAAAAGCTTCTTTCGAAGACACTTGTAAATGGATCTATGATCTGATCTCCCTGTTAGCTCGTTCGTAGCTTTCCAATGTCATGGTACCCTAGATAAAGTCCTTTCGCAAATTAATTATTCTACCAAATTACCCGTCCGTGAACCTGATCGGTTGATCTCTTCAAATAGCGAATCGCGTCCACCGTTTTCCTTTTCCGATAACAATCATGCGAATTGGTCAAGCGTAAAATCGATAATTGATAGGAACGGCGACGAATAAGGTCGTTGCGTTTGCCGCAATGCAGATGGCAGCCAATCTCGGCTTCTTTCATGGTGACCGAAGGAGGCGAAACCGCCTGTGAGGAAGCCGGCTGAGAACTCGTCCGCAAACACGTACAGCACAGAAAGTTCAAATCGAATGGTCCAATAAAGTCACTCGCAAACAAAGCGAGATAAAACGTCAAAGAGTGCCGACTGGGTTGGTTATTTGACGAGAGGAGGGGAGAATGAGTAACGAATGACAGAGCCCTGCCAATGCAAACGTAATGGGGACGGCACTGTTCACATACAAGTTTGAGTACGGCATTGTTTGAGATGTACCCCCTGTGAAGCATGACATCAGCAAAACTGGTAGCTCAAACAAAAGAAGCTCAGACTCAAAGCTCGAACTTGAGCCTAGAATTGAAGAAAGCTCTTCGACACTAGTGATTTGTTAAAGCAGAGGTTCTCCGAGGAGCCGACAGAGAATGGGCAGGAGGTACCACTGCCGCTCGTACGAAGCTGAGTGGATGTAAGGAAATAGGAGGTAATAGTGCTGAGAAGCTACCCAATGACTCGATTTTTCAATGTCCGATCACCTAATTTTTTCAGAATTCCAAATTGAGGGGAAGGTTATTCAAGGTACAATTCTAGACAGGCCAGCCTTTATAAAATTAGCACTTTCATCCATCCAGATGATCTGGTACCAGTCAACTGACCCCGGAGGGATAGAAGTGTCTTGAACAGGTATCGAGGCGGGATTCGAGCCTTCCTTAGACTCCTAAGAAAAGCATGAGCAGAGCATTGTTTTTCTACAAGACAGGATTGTCATCCAATGAGCGACACAAAAGTGATGGAGACTTTCTTGGAATGAGCAGATATCGGCCATGATTCGATCTCAGGACCTTGCTTGGGTGCTAGTGGGCCACTTACCACTACACCACCCTTCCAAGTTTCCCGATTATTGCAATATTTTCAACAAAATTCGATTTCCGATGCCTCAACAAGGCTGTTTGGATTGGGAATTAAAACGGGCAAACGATTAAGTATAGGAACAACAAACAGAGATGTTCCAGTTATATGAAGCTGTGCTATTTCTATGGTATGCGACTAACATTCGACGAACCTCCCATACCTCCATACCACCCATTGAGAGATAGATCTGTCTGGGTGGATAAAAACTCATAACTCTTTTAGCTGGTCCTCGCAAGTAGTACGTTCATGGGACTACAACATATTCGAGTGAATGTTGGTTATAGATCGAAATCGAATGAGCAGCGCACCTCTGGAAAACTAGTACGCATTTGCTTCTTTCTTCTGCAGCCTTACCGGAATTAACGCCGCACGAAGGTTCTTGTGATGGGTCTCAACTAACTGGTTTACCTTGAAATTTATCACTTTCAATTGGATCTGCCCAAATTTGCCATTCTCACATCGCTCAGATTCGATTCAAATGACGCCATTAATCAGATGGCAATTACTGTGAACGACGCCAAGCGACCAACGACCGCTCTGGCCGAACAGGACATATCCAGCTGAGTCAGCCCATCGGACCACTTCCAAAGGTGTCCCGCTGAGGCACCTGGTCGATCGGCTCATCACTCTGTCCACCACAGACAACATCTGAGCCGCATTTACCGGATGGCGTAATGTCTTCCGCCAGGCGGAATGCGACTTTGATCGCAACTTGGCCAACAGCTAACCCCATACCTGCTGCGTCACTATCTGATGAATGAGGTGGTCTATGTGATTTTCTTGGAGTAAAAATGTCCAAACTCCGCTTAGTAACCCCTATCGGATGTAATTTAAGTCAGAACAAAGGTGGAGAGGGTTTAGTCGCCCGAATCACCGATCACTTGTTTGATGGATGATGGTGCCCCACATAGGTCCAGTGAGCTCCCCGTAATTCCTGCAAAAAGCTGAATAGAAGTAGACCCTTAAATGAGATAATCACTGTGTTCCTCTATCAGCTGGCCCCAGCAGCGTCCGAACACGCCTTACAAGGCTTCTATCACTCCAACTGTCGCTCAAGAGCGTGACGCAACCCACACAATTACTGTATTGTTTAGTTTATAAATACTGCTTTACTTCACTGTATTGTTATAGCGCAACGTTACGCGCATCAAAATAGAATAGATATTCGTCCAATTTGGAAGAAAAATCCCTTCGGTGGAGCATATCGTGTAAAGAAGAGGAATCTCCAGTGGTACTGGTATTTTCAGCATGTCAGTAGAACTTGAGTGTGGGAGATGGGGCCGTAACATCGAGTTCTCCCAACTGCAGGACTACTAGAAGCAGGAGGTCTCGTCAAAACAACCTTAAGCTGAATGTTCAATAAATGCTCCTGAGCTTCAATTTAGATCCAATTCCGTAATAAGATCCCAAGTAGAAGTAGTTATAGATACCCTCGAAGGTCATTTCAGTGCCAGATGCTCGGGGCTATCATTCACATTTCTTCAGCCGTCGGATCGCATCCACGGCCCAAGTAGTCCATCAGTGTCTAATAACCCTATCGTGTCTCTTTAAACTCTATATGACCCCAGCATCAGTCACTGACCACAACGAAAACACGACTACACCGTTGATTGATGTCGATTACACAGCGAACATAAGCCTAGTTTGTGACAGGAACCGCCTATCTGGTTGTCGATCAAATCCACCGGGAAATCATAGACTTGGATTGAATTCGAAACAAAAACTAACAAGGGGAAAGAAAGGGGTGTTCGAAACTTGTTCTATTAGAAGTCGGGATCGAGGGCAAGGCTCCGGAAACTTCGTATTTCGTTTTCCAGGTTTCAGCCTATAGCAGCCTGTTTGAACAACGTTTTCCTCGATGGGGCTACAACCCTGACGAGGTCACAGGCCGAAGGAGACTGTGGAAAAAGGGTCTTAGAAATTGGGGTGGGTATTGAGGGTAAGCACTTCGAAATAAGTTAAATTCAGAGAGGGGACAAGGGTACCCAGTTCTTCGCAGGGATTCGTCCGAGCAAGGATTTCCTTGGGGATCCGGGTCAAGAAATTACTAGAGCCAACAGAAATCAGAGCATGTTGGAACTTCTGAGGGCCTCCCATCAATGTTCACTACTTTCTGCTTTTCATCTAGGAGTAAGTCAATATTCAGTACACTAGGTGAGGAGCTCCGGCCTGCTTGGTGACCAGACTGGTTTAACTGGTATCATTTGTTAAACACCCCCAACCCTCCCATCCTCATCAGAAAACCCACAGCTGCCCACAAAGAATCCAGCCGTTCCAAATTGATCAGATACCTTCTTTGGTCTTACATTTCTTCTTTATTTTTACTTTAGAACCACTTGAAGGTCATGGATAACTCGCAAAACCTAAAGACCCCGTGGGAAGCTCCGCCTACTCTTAGAAAAAGAACTATTGACCCTCAGAAAAAGGACGAGTGGCCTTGGAATCCAAATCATTTCCCACGACATATGTGAATGGATTCTAAACACAA